CCGGACCGTGGGGGACCAGCCTGCAGCTGCGGCTCTCACTAGCACTGTGCCCAGCATGCACAGAGGCCAAGCAAGGAGCCTCCTGAGCCCAGAGTCCTTCCCCAGCCAGGTAGCATCCCTTCACAGGCAGGGTGGCTGCACCCCATCCCGGCAGAACTGTGCAGGCTGGCTGGGCCCCACCTCTGGTGCTGCTGGGCCCCACCACTTTGGCCCAAGGCTGTGGAGCCTTGGGGCAGCCCCCGCTCCCTGCCTGACCTCCACTCTTCTCCAGGTGCAGCCTTCCCAAGGGCCTGGCCAGGCCAGCCTTCCTGCAGTGACTCCCCCAGTACCTGCTGCTCTCTCTTCCCCCTCTCATCACAATATGCTTAACAAGAAAAAAACAATTCACAAGTACAAAGGCAGGTTTAGAATTTTTCCCATCCCCAGTCTGACCTAGTGCCAGCCCCATGATCTATCACCAGCCCCACGATCCCAACCCCAGCCCCATGATCAGCCTGGGGAAAGGAACTTTTATTTATTGTTATAACTTTTATTTATTTATTCATAAGAAAAGGAAGTTTTATTTATTGTCACCAGGTTTAGAATTTTTAGAAAACCTGGTATTAACTAGGGCTGTGCGAAATGGCACTGTTCCATTTTGACTTCAGTTTCGAGGTTTGGACGGAACAGTGTTTTGTTTCAAATTTCATTTTGAGTCAAAACAGCTGTTTCATTTCACTTCATCGAAACAGTGAGGCTGTTTCAATGCTGTTTTGACATTTTGTCTGACCATCGGGCTGAGGAAAGGAACTCAGCCCAACTGGGCTGAGTTCCCATCCCCAGGCCGATCTAACACGGGGGATGGGAAGTCAGTGTAGCTGGGCTGAGTTCCCAACCCCATCCCGCTCTAGTGCTGGGGATGGGAAGTCAGCCCAACTGGGCCAAGTTCCTTTCCCCAGACTGATCATGGGGCTGGGGTTGGGATCGTGGGGCTGGTGCTAGATCATGGGGATCATGGGGCTGGCACTAGGTCAGGCTGGGGATGGGAAGTCAGCCCAGCTGACTTCCCATCCCCAGCCCAATCGTAAGGCTGGGGAGGGGAACTGAGCCTGGGCTCTGTTCCCTTCCCCTATGCTGTGATCGGCTTCCCACAGCCCGGTGGTGGGAGACGGGGAGAGCCAGGGCTATGCTCCTGGCTGCTGCTGGGAGCACAGCCCTGGGGTTCTCCCGTCTCCCACCACCTTGCTGCTGGCTGCTTCAGAACTCAAAATGTTTCAAAACTTTTGAAATGTTTCAACTAGCCTCTTTTTGTTTTGAAGCTGTTTCGAAGCCCTTTGTTTCAATTCGATATCGTTGTTTCAAGCTCAAAATGAGTTGAAATAGTGTCAAATTGAAACAGCCGGTGAAGTTTCGCACAGCCCTAGTATTTAGTGTAAAAAAAATGCAACATTTATGATTATTAACTGTATTAAATATGCAGTGCATCCTGCCATGTACCCCTCACCCCTTCCAGTTTTGTTTTTGTGGTATGCTGGCACTCTAGCACCTTACAAGGTAGACTTTGTGGGGGCTTTGGTACTCCAGCCAAAAAACATTGCCTACCCTCCTAGAGAATAGATTTGCCTTTCTGTGGTCTTACGAAAATTAGCCTTTGATTCCTTTAGAAATAGGGATTTATAGGCATGTCAAATTGTAGGGGTTTATTGAAGGGTACAATGTTCATTTAAATAATCAAACTATCTGCCAATATTTCTTTGGCCATCTGTGTGCGCATTTCCACTGAGTGAAGTGAGTGGTCATTTCCACTGAATTACACTGTTTCTTAGGATCCCATTAGATTTGTGCATGCGCTTGTGAAGTGGATTTTCTGCTATAATATACAGATACACACATGGAATATAGCTCCCCAGGGGCTACTCCAGTTTGTGCTGGGAGCCAAACTACACTCCAACCAGCCTTATTGTTGGAGGGAAGGGGATATAAAGATAAGAAGCCAAAATTCGGATACTGCACTGAGAAGCTCAAAGATCCGTTTATGCTTCCCAATTGAAAAGCTGGTATGAAAAACACTCATAAAATACAAACTATTTTTCCTGGTTTTCAGAGTTCCTTTGACTACCAAGCAATTGCAACAGCACATGGAAATTCCATAATCTAAACTATTTGTCTAGGTCCTACCGCTGATTCAAATGAACTCCTTAGCACATCTTCAGGTGGTTGCTCAGTAGGATCTCTCTGCAGCCAGGTTGCCGAGGGAATATGCTGTCAATGAATCTTCCCTGTTTCCTGCCAATTCCTGC